GGGCGGGGCCAGGGTGTTCTGGGCCCCCCCCATCCCTCCTGGTGCCTAACGCGGGCATCCCATGGTGTTGTGCAGGAGCAGCAGCAGCCGCCCGCCCTCGACATCCCCCTGGGTGAGTCCCCCCTGAAACCAGCCCCAGCTGAGGTGCTCCTCCTGCCCTGGGTTAGGTGCCCGGAGGCATTAGTCTGCGTCCTACCTGTTCCAACGCCAGCGGGAGCCGCGCCTCCAGCTCAGCACGCTGCTGCTCTTCTCTTCCAGCTCGCCTCACCGTGACCTACTGCCGCAGCAGTGGCCCTGGCGGGCAGCACGTTAATAAAGGTGAGGAAGTTCTCCCCCTTTGATGGGTGAAATACCATAATCTTCAATCGCTTCCCTGCATTTGTGGTAAAACATTGAGAGCCTGAAGTTAAAGAGCATCTTTGTGCTGCCTGATGCTTTTTCATTACCATTACCTTACATTTTAACACAACTTCCAAATCTTCACAGTGCTTGAGACCAGTGGTAACGTATTTGATTCTCCTTCTCTTACTGGGAGCATTGCTGCGACGTGCCACATGAAGCATCTCCCGTGTGTGATCTGTTTTCACTCATCAGACACAAGCAGCAGTTGGTTTCTGGAACTTTACAACACAATAAATTCTCAGCTTAATTCAAATAAACTATAAATACTTCCTGTTGTGCCACTGCCATTAAATAAGGTGGGTAGTGACTGGCAACAGCAATAAATCTTGCAGTGTCTAGAAAGGCAAAGATCGTGACAGATTATCCATAAAGATTTAGAGATTGTCTTTTAGAAGGGTAAGTAAAAATACAGCAAGGAAAAAGGTGATTTTTCAGGAAATTGGTGCTGGAATCACCCTGTGTTCAAAGCCAGCAGTGAACAGACTGAATTATCTCCTAAAGCTTAGGAAGGCAAGCCATTACATAGAAAAAGACCCTGTTTTCCCTCCCAGTGAACACCAAGGCAGAAGTTCGCTTCCACTTGGCATCAGCAGACTGGATTCCAGAAGCTGTGAGACAGAAAATGGCATCGATGGTAACTACCATCCCCTTCCAGGCACAGTTTAAACATCACTTTCAGACAGGATGTGATGAGGTGTCAGCGATCACATTCCGTTTTCCCCTCTGCAGCACAGGAATAAGATAAACCGAGCTGGTGAGCTGTTTGTGACCTCTGAGGAGAGTCGCTACCAGATGAGGAATCTGGCCATTTGCTTAGAGAAGATCAGAACCATGGTCACGGAGGCTACGGAGCAGCCCAAGGTGGTGTCTAAGGAGACAACACAGAAACTCATAGAGAGGTATCTTTATTGAAACGTCCTTTTTTTTGAGATGGATTCAGGTTATTATGTGATTTAGTTGGCAGTTTGTACAATCTTCATATTCGTTTGGATTTCCTTTGCTAAGAAATTCACTGATCAATTAGATTTTAACCCCTTTCCTGGGTAGCATCTCAAGAACAGGGACTGGTTATTCTATCTGTGGACATTTGTCATCAAGTCTATGTTATAACTGTGCTCAGATTTGAATGTGGAAATGTTTTCTTGGTGCACTAAAGGAGCTTTTCACTTTGTTTTAGGGTGGAAAAAATGAACCGCGAACGACTACGACAGAAAAAGATACACTCAAACATAAAGCAGAGCAGGAAGGCAGACTTTGAGTGAGAGAGCAGAGATCCAAGCCCTTGACATACCATCTTCATAAAGAAGTGGCACTGACAGCTGTTGATGATGCTAAACTTATGAGCTGTATTGAGTAAAAATGGTCTGAAAGTGTAAATAAAATATAACATCTCCTTTTGAATTGAAAAATTATTGTTCATGTTTGAAACTAAAAATTCAGGGTTTGAATTGTATATATTTTATAATATATCTATTACATAGTATATT